CAAATTTTAATGCCGAACAAATCGACCGAATTTACACCAACGCAAAAATAAAACCTTCAGTTTTACAAATCGAACTTCATGCTTATTTGCAACAAAACGAACTTCGCACACTTTGTGAGAAATATGATATTGCTGTGACGGCATACGCGCCTTTGGGAAGTCCCGGAGCAAACAATCATTTCACTTCGAAATATAATTACTCGTAAGTTTTTGGWAATTACAGTTTTCTGACTTACCGACATTTGTAGTATTTCTGATTTTCCGGACATTTTGGGGCACCCACTAGTGTGTGAACTGACACAAAAGTATAAGAAAATGCCAGGGCAAGTCCTACTACGTCATTTGATCCAACAGGATATTATCGTGATACCGAAAAGTGGTAATCCGGAACGACTCAAGTCAAATATCGAAATTTTTGATTTTGAGTTGAGTCGAGAGGATTTGGAAGGTTTGAATGGACTGGATCGGGGGGAAAATGGTCGGATTTTTAACTTTTTGTTTTTCAAAGGTGTGGAAAAACACCCCGAGTATCCATTCAAACATCGAATTAATGGTTGGTAGTTTTATTAAAATAAASTAACTGATACGATACAACATTTTACGTTGCATTCTGTGTTGTAATTGTCCACGTCGGATCATCGTATGTATGACTTTAAGTATCGCCTGTTCTGGATATAGTTTTTGGGTGAAATCTTGAATWATAGTCTGAGGTGAGACTTGTGTACCGATTGCAAATCGTCGTTTTAAATCTTTTTCGATGCGAATTAACATTTCTTGGTCTTCTTGAGTCGTGAAGCCTTCACTACCTGATTAAAAAAAATGCAGTGTTACTAAAACTAAAGATAACTGTAATACCGACCAGCTAAATCACCACTCATTGTAGCATCCAGTGTTGATACTTGAAATAAACGTAAAGCTTCATTGATGTGGGTTTCAGTAGCAAAGGGGAGAAGTTGCATTTTAGCTAAACTTTCCGAAATACGTATTATGGCTTCAAGTTCTTTCTCGTGTTGATTGGCACCGGAACGCATCAAAACGTAACGACGTTTGAGTTTGTCACCGGCTTCGGCGTTCAAACGGGGCCCACAACGGCTAGAAATTGAAAAAATAGCCAAAAATGACGTTTTGAAAATTTTTAAATGTCAAAAGTGACATTTACGAAAGTGATGACTACGTTTATATAGGGTGGTAAATGTTTCGGGAAAAAAAACCGGTTTAATTCGACTTGGAGTAAGATGAGTGCCATTCCTGTGTATTTTTTACGATTTAAGCAAGGAGTGACACGTTTCGTATTATAAAATAAGGAATTGTTTCTTTATAATTCGTTAATAAAATGCCGTCTAAACGTTGCCAATTTTAAGTCAGAAATCAACAGAGCTATGGAAAATTTGACCATTTTGAACAAATATCAAAGTTTTAAATTGGTTTTTATCATTTTCATGATCATTTTTAAGTGACAGTAATTTAAATACTTGAAGGTAAGTCAAAAATGCCGWAATGGCTGAAAATACGAAAAAAAAATTGAAGTGTCAAAAATGACATTTAAGAAAATGACTACGTTTACACTCGTTTGTAAAAGTTTCGTAAAAAGAACGGTTTAATTAAGTTTGGAATAACATAATTACCATTACTGTCTATTCTTTTATGATTTAAACAAGGAATGACAAGTGTCATATTCCAAAATAAGGAATTATTTTTTTAAAAATTCGTTAATAAAATGCTGTGTAAACGTAGCCAATTTTTAGTCAAAAATCAACAGCTATGGAAAATTTAACCATTTTGAATAAAAATCAAAGTTTTCAATTGGTTTTTATCATTTTTGTGATCATTTACAAGTGGCAGTGATTTAAATACTTGAAAGTAAGTTAAAAATCCAGTAACGTCTGGAAATATGAAAAAAATTTGAAATGTCAAAAATGACATTTAAGAAAATGACTACGTTTACACGCGTTTGTAAAAGTTTCGTAAAAAAAAACACGATTTAATTCTGCTTGGAGTAATTGGGTGCTATTACTGACTATTCCTTTACGATGTAAGCAAGAAATAACAAGTGTCATATTCCAAAATAAGGAATTATTTCTTTAAAAATTCGTTAATAAAATGCCGTGTAAACGTAGCCAATTTTTAGTCAATAATCAGCAGAGCTATGGAAAATTTGACCATTTTGAACAAATATCAAAGTTTTAAATTGGTTTTTATCATTTTCATGATCATTTTCAAGTGGCAGTGATTTAAATAATTGAAACTAAATCAAAAATCTCGTAACGGTTGGAAATACAAAAAAAAAATTGAAATGTCAAAAATGACGTTTAAGGAAGTACGTTTACACGCGTTTGTAAAAATTTCATAAAAAAAGGGTTTAATTTAGCTTGGAATAACATGATTACCATTACCATCTATTCATTTACGATTAAGCAACGAATGACAAGTGTCTTATTACAAAATAAAAAATTGTTTCTTTATAAATTTGTTAATAAAATGCGGTGTAAACGTAGCCAATTTTTAGTCATAAATCAGCACAGCTATGGAAAAAATACCCCACAAATGTCAAAATTTCAGTTGATTTTTATTAATTTCAGGTGAGTAAAAAGGGGGCTACTCACGTCCTGCAATATCTGATGTATTTTTTGATAAATTCCAGCGAAAGTTCGCCGTCGTTAACTTGCTGGTTGGTCCCCCCGGCGTTCATGTGCACCCCCATGATATGTCTCGCTAAAGTCTTAAAACCAATGAAAAAAAATTAAATAATTCCTTGTTGTTTTTTATTACCATATCGCGTTGCAGATCGTGTTCATCCTTGACAATAAAAATCATATCAAAACGTGAAAGAATCGTCGGCATAAAATCAATGTTGTCCTCCCCCTGAAACCCAAAATGTGTGAATCCCACAAAAAACGTGTAAAAAACCCACTTTAGTGTCATCCCAACGTCCAAAAATACTATTCGCAGCTGCAAGAACCGAACATCGCGAATTCAAAGTTGTGGTAATCCCCGCTTTCGCAATCGAGATAGTTTGTTGTTCCATTGCTTCATGAATGGCAACTCGATCATCCTCTCTCATCTTATCAAACTCATCAATACAGACAACCCCCCCATCGGCCAAAACCATAGCCCCACCTTCCATAACAAAATTCCTCGASGAAGGTTCCCTCATTACCGACGCTGTTAACCCAGCAGCTGAACTCCCTTTCCCAGAAGTGTACACCCCAATGGGGGCCACACGTTCCACAAACTTCAACAATTGTGGCTTGGCAGTTCCGGGATCCCCCAATAACAAAATATTAATATCACCACGACGGGTRAAACCATCAGGGAGACGTTTCCGTGAACCCCCGAATAAAAGACAAGCTATGGCTTTTTTAATATCAAGAGCCCCAAAAATCGACGGTGCGATACTACTCGCAATTCGGTCGTAAATAT